TAATAATAGTAAGAATAATAATTATATAGTTATCCAGATTTGCATAAAAATGTGTTTACTTGTTCATGTTGCTGTACCATGCTGTCAAAACGATGTAACCAAAGAGGCAGCGAAACGTCTTAACATAATAATAATACGTCTAATAAATACAAGAGTTTGAAAATCGAGATCAGCCGAATGTAGGGCGTGCACAATGAAATGAAACCAATTGTGTTATTAAGTGCTCGTTTATTGCCAATTTATTAGCAAACGTTTACTTCTATTATTAAAACAATAACTGCAGTTGTGCTGGCATGACAGGTATACTCATGTGAGAAAATAAGAATGGGCTCGAACAACTTGACGTGCCCGCTCTTATGTAAATATAGCTTGTCAAGCCAGCACAGCTGCATTTATTTACTAAATCGAAACAGTAAAAATTTCATTTTGGGGGTAACACATTAGTAATACTCGCATACTAAATACGCTAATTTGTTTTATTTCATTGCGCTGTAGTTGCCATGCCAGCTTGACGTACCTCAATTTAAATCGTTGCACCTAAATGCAATGCTTTTCATTCTAGTTCATTCTAATAAATCACTTTTTTGCCGCATGTAAAAAGACTTAGTACAATTTGTATTTAAAAAAAAATAATCATCAAAAGAGGAAAACCGAAAAATTCTACCAACTTTCGAGACTAAAGGTTGAGGGGAAATTGGAAGAGATCAGAACGTTTTTCAACATACCAAAGTCAAGTGTTCAACAATTGGAACTTGAGGTACGGCTGTACTTCGAAATTCAGGAAGAGGATACTCGCAACGGCAAAGACGAGTCAGAAGTTTTGACTGTGGTTCAGCACGTACCTTTATGGCCGCGCTATATCTCTTTTTTGGTGCTGTCAGAGGGAAAGAAAAGAATATGAAATCTTAGATAATGAAATGAAAGAAATATGGAACAACGTTACAATCCACTTGGTGGAGTGGTACTAAAGAGATTGTAGCACAAACGGCGAGGAAAGAAAAAGACAAAGTATGCGTACCGCGCTATGCGAACTGGAGGAGGACGAGCCAAGAAGATCAATAAAGGGAAAGATTAAGGAGGAGTAGTCATAAACAATATGCGCATAAGCTTTCCTTTAAACTCAAATCTTGCTTAGAAGGCGTATGGAAGAACGTGCATTGCTCCAGTCGATTTCAACCAGAATTCATGCGACTTAAGAAAGAATAACATTGAAGATTAGTATTAAAAGCTAGTAGCAAACGCTTCCAAGCAATGTCTGAAAGAAAACAAAACTGTTTAATTCGCCAAACCTTTCCATTCTATAATAAAAATACGATTCCAACAAAATCTATGTAAAACAAAAGAAACAAATTCTCAGATTTATTTTTCTTCATTAAATAAAGGCATTTTACCTGAAGTTCAGAGAGAAAAAAAGCAATTCCTCCCCTTCGCGTAGATCGAAAAGCAGAAAATGCTTAATGTCAACGCACAGAGAAGCACAAGAAATTATGTCAAGAGGCGAATCCAGGAGCGTAGGTTGTGCGGTTTTACGGGAAGAAAAATTCAAAATCTACACGAAAATTACAATACATGAATGCATTTAGAGTAATCCGTAAGGGCCGACGATTTGTGTAATGTTTACTGGCGTTAACTCACAAGTTTCAAAAGAAGTCCCATTTACTCGAAGTTATCCTCAAAACCGAATCTTAATAGTGTAGAATTTTGTTCTACACTCTATATTATACAAATCACCACTAAACGATCATAACACACACTCGCAATTGAATGCCCAGAGGTAGGAGCGTAATTAGGAGAAAGGAGCGGAGTTCGTAAAGCAGATTTCGTAGGAAGAAAAATTCAAAATCTACACGGAAATTGCAATGCATGAATGCATTTACAGTAAATCGTAAGGGCGCGCTAACTTCGTAATGTGCTCTGGCATTTAAAATTCAGACTGATGTAGTCGTAGTTATCCCCAAAACCGCATCATAATTTTGAGAAATTTTGTTCTACGTACTATATTTTACAATAAACCACTAACCCATCGTAACTAACACACACGCGCGCACACACGCACACACACGCACACTCACGCACACACGCACACACACGCGCGCACACACGCGCCAACACACGCGCACACACGCACGCACACACGCGCGCGCGCGCACACACACACGCGCACACACGCACGCACTCGCGCGCACAAACGCGCGCACACGCACGCACGCACACACGCACTCGCAACTGAATGCCCTCGACCGCCGAAAAGGAGCAGGGAGGTCGACGCCAAGAAAGAGAAGGGAAACAAAGAGTGAGGCGAACGAGCGAGAACGAACGGAGTTGGCGGGTTGGAGCAACGTCGGGAGGGTGGGACAATTTGGCGGCCCCGGAGCTGCCCCCTGCAACAGTCGCAGGCGACCGCTCTTGGCCCATCACCAGCTCGGATGCACTCAATTAAATCCAGATTGGGTCGGAGGACTCGCGCCAAACTCCCGTTTCCCCCCGCCACCCCACCATGAGCTTGCGGTGGTGGACCACAGCACCGCGGTTGTGTGCGAAACGTGGCCTGAGGAACACACGGAATAGTGATGGGTGAACGGTGTTAGGAACCTTCGGCGAGTTTCGAAAAGGGACTATCAGAAATGAGCAAATTGTATCTTGTGTACTGAGTATTAATTGATTCCGGGCGCTTCAAATACTTAGGTCGTTATTCCTCCAAATGAAGTGCATGTTATATCTCTGGAGGTGGCGGTGTTCCTTGCCTGCTTCAGCGCGAGATTCGGCGCTGACCTACATTCCCGCTTGCTGAACTTCCCCCTTTATGTATTTCCCCCAGAGGGACAAAGCTCCAGCTGGGCCAAACAGTACGCTCCCGACAAGTCGACATGTATGGAAGTGCATGTAAGTGTGTGTTTACGCACGCACGTGCGTGTGTGTAAGGCGGAGAAGAGGGGCCAGAGACGTGAAGAACCTTTGTTAAGGTATACGCCTGTTATTGATCGAAAACTACGGATGAGATCCGCCTTTCACTGTTTCTCCAGAGAGCGATTGACCTCGATTCCAGCAATGCAACTAGTGTCGCAAATCCGCCATCCCTTGGCCTCACAGTCAACATTGCAACAGAGACAACCATTGAAGGTGTTGAAAATTCATTATTCAAATCTAGTGGAAGGACTCTGTCCTCCACAGGAACGAGCAAGTTGAAATATTAAGTTTATTACTTGAAGGGGAATCTTATTATATAATGCCCAGGTTCTGGAAACCTGACCATTGACCCACTTCGCAATGTATTGTTGCCGGTTTTAAGATTTGAAACCTCATGGCCTAACGCTACCTTCTACTTGTATTTATTGAATGCAATATTCGCTGCTAAATAATGAGAAAAAAAATTGTCACTAGACCAGTAAATCTTTATCATTTTATCCATCACTTGCATTGTCTGACATCAAATATCTGATTTGATTATGTCAGGGGTTGACGAAAGGTGTATGTCGCCGGCCACTTGCCCAGGCCACAAGCGTCACCCTAAAGATTTGAAAATCCACTGCCCCCAACCGAATGGGATCTCGCTAGCCAGTGCGTGGGTGGACCTTCAACCCATACGGGTCGGCTGGATTAAACATTCTATCTTTATTTTTCAAATCACACATTTCTTCTTTAGAATTGAATTGAATTTACTGGTTTCATTACTTATTATTTATTGATTGGATTTGGTGACAGCCTAATCGCAAAGGTCATTGAGGCTCATAACTGATAATCTAATGAAAGGATGATGTTAAAGTGAATGATAGACTGATTGATTTTGATTACTATCTACTCCGGGCGTGTCAGCGACTAAAGTCTTAAGTCCCGTAAGTGTAGTGCATGATTTTTCTCGTGAGATGGCGGTGATCTTGCCGCGCTGGATGGCGAAATTCGGCGCAGACATACCGTCGGCTAGCGGAGTTTTCCCCTACCAGATATCTTCCATCAGTGAGGCCCCGCCCCAGCCGGTACAAGCTCTAAGCTACCGACCGGTCTCGCGGTATATGTGGTAGAGTAGTGCATGTCAGAGTGTGTGTGTGTGTGTGTATAAGGAGTAGAATAGGATAAGACATGGGAAGAAAAAATCGGGCGTGATCCGTGGCCCGTTTGGCAGGGTACTGCTCGGGCATTCACCTGGTGTTGATTGTAGAAATCGCAGAAAACTACCGAACAGAGCAGCTGGCCACTAGAATTCTCCTCCAGACTGAATGATGGAAAAATCCCGGAAAGAATGATATGAAAAAAGGAAGAATTTCGAAAAATGTGCCCAAAACGCACTTTGTCCACTATATATATCACATGGACTGGACGAGAATCAAATCCGGGGCGCAGTAGTGGACGGCGAATGGGATAACCTTTATGTGAGGAACCGTCCCCTCCCTTCACACACACACACACACACACACACACACACACACACAACTTGTGATTCCATTGGCAGCATTGCAGGGGAACAAGAGTGCTTAATGGATATTGTATTACTGAGAGAAGTTTGTCTGCTAAATACTGTACACCTTTTCCTGGGACTAGAAGATAATTATTCATTATTGTGCCATCCACTCAGATCACCTTTCTAAATTGTATACGTGTAATTGACAAGGCACCAAACGTGTGCAACTTAATGGCAAACGATGTATTGGAATCGAGTAACAGAGCGATGTATTCATTGTGCATGTAATGCATTGATAAAATCTTCAGAAGTATGCACAATTGTACGCTGTATCTTTTTTTGGTTTTCTACACCTAAGTTGTTCCCTATACACCAATATTAATTTTAACATGTTATACATGTATACTTATGGCTGTTCATTTTCTGTTTCGCAATGATGTTCAACGAAATGACTTCTTTGTACCGTTTAAAGCGGGGGTACAAAGACCCTAAATATATTTTCATTGAATTTAAAATTTATTTGATTGAAATATTTTTTAACTACAAATTACTTTTTTACTTTCATTAACTACTATAAATTAAATACAAGCTTTTTAACTCACCATTCTTCCTTGTTAGATCCACTACTTGTAGCTGGGAAGACGTAGCAGTAAGTTGTTGAAGTCATTGTTGTAGAATCTTGAGTTTCACTTGGTCCAGACAAGATCTAAACATATAATGAAACATAAGCTATCAGCAAATATATAATTCGGAGTTTGCGAATTTCCGGGTGGCACTGACCTTGTCAATATCATCCCTACACCTACAAATAGAGCTAAATTGAAGTTGTTGAATTTTCTATTATATAATGTGTTATAATATATACAATGTGTATGTAAAACACGCTAATAGTAGTATAATATGACTTATAAAAAGAGATGAAAAAAATATTCGTCTAACACTGTAAGGAAATGTTAAAGAAAATATTTCTTGGATATTAAATAATGTTTTAAATGTCTTGTTTCAAAAATCTTCATGAAAAAGAAATTAGAAGTGTGTTTTCCTCTCATTTAAATTGGGTGAATGTGTATGTGAATGAACAAGAATACCACACGCAAATCTAGTTACTTCCTTGTTCTCTCCCATCGAACAGTCGAAAGCTTCCCCAGATCGAATAATGGCCCAGCGTTAAACATGCAAAGTGTGGTTTGTCGGCCTGGTCCTGTGTAATGAAACACGTTGCTTTCATTAGCACTCGTGCAATGCCATTAAGCCGTGTCCATATCACCGTAGCTAAGGCGCAAAGAGACCACACTGGACACATGAGCAACTCCCACGTATCGTCAAGCTTCTGATGAAATGAATGTTGTTCCGTTCTGCAAAGAGAATTTATACTCTCTTCTAGAACAAACAGCATGAAGAGAAAAAAGCCTGTGAAGAGTATAAAAATACATGTCTGCAAGGACTACGGCGAGACGAAAGTCGTTCTTTGTTTCCTGTAGAGCTTTTTTTGTTATTCACTTTGGTAGATAATTCAAAGAGCACTTCATCTGACATTGACACAGTATGACAATTTAATGTCCATGAGAAAAGAAAAGGAGGAAACAGTAGGAGACGTTTCATTAAAATTGTAAATAAATTTGAATAGGTCATATCCGGAGCTAGAATTAAGTATCTCAAAAAAAAATAAGAATATATTTGTCTTACACGTAGTAATTGAGCTGCAATTCTATTATCAAAAGCTTTATTGTTTCAATTTGTACCACGCAGCATTCACAGATTGATTCTATTATCTAAGCAAACGCTCCGGACATAACAAAACTCAGAAACTGATGAGTGTAAAAAACAGTATATGACGTTTTAGAATTGACTAGAGAAGTTACAAAAAAGAATATTAATCATCATTTTTATTGCATATTCCTTCCAAAATTAGTTTCATTAAGGGACTGAGAATTGGTTTCTCAGATTTGGTGTTAATCTCGTGATTTTTTAAAATCACTTAAAATACAATATTTTCGAAGACATCATTTTGTATTATTCGCAAGTATTCTATATTTTGTGAGTAGTTATATATTCTAACATACTATTCTATTTTGTTTCAGGTGAGTAAACAGAGGATTATGAGATGAAACGCACGTTATGTTCGTAAGAAAAGTTACCAGAAGTACTGAAGAATAAAGGTATGTTGGTTATTAGCGTTGTTTATTACAGATTCCGATAAACAATTTTCTTTGTAAGAATCTACAATAATTATATAGCTATGATTAACATTTATGATAATGAATAATTATTGTGTAAGTAATTTTGAATAATGGTAATTCAATAAATAAAATTGAAAGCTGTTGAATATTTCGTGAAACTTCCTTATCCCTGCAATTAAATAAAGTAGTACTAAGTTTTTGGACATTGCAACCTTTTAAATCATTTTAAACTTGAAAAACACATATTAGTGTAGTTTTGAAAATAAAACCTATTTGAAGTGAAGATCTTCCAAAGAAGACTCAATCTATCCCAGACTATTCGCCATTTCATTTTCTGGTTAGAAACTCTCTTTTATTCGCAGTTTCTTCGTCGTAATCCCAGTAACGCGTTCATTTCGCGACCACTCGCAAACACAACCTGAATCGATACGCGAACGGAAGTGCCGTTGCAAAGGTTCAGTTTCCACTTGCAGCGAGCGTTTCCTCTCGTAACGACGTACTTGGCGACCCCCGCCGACGCCCCGTTTTCACCCCATTCAGCAAGCGCAGGCCGGCCCTGTCCCCACACCCCCTCCGCTGGCGGGGAGGGTCGCCGTATTCTTCCACTGTTCGCCCGCCCATCGGCCACAATCGCCCATCGCCCTGTTGGACTGGCCCTCGCCTTCCCTCGCTAGTGGCACATCCACGAAAGAATTTGCCCGATCGCAGACCAGCCTAGGATGACTTTTTGAATTATCGAAATTGTTTAATAAAAATGTAAGCATTTTCGATATTTGTTTCTTACAAATTTTTTAATATATTTATATTTAATAAAAAGTAATATTTAGTTTATCATGAATTTTAAATTACATATGCTTTATCAGTCGAAATGGGGTGACGACAAAAAATTGATGTGATCTGCAGATAAATAGTGTTTTATGCATTTTATTCAATTAGAGCCCCAAAATGCCATTTCTGGGTTTGTAAACTACGTTATTACATATCTCTCGTAAAAAATAGAACAAAACTACTGTAAGGAGTGTATTGTCAATATTTCTTTTTATCTAATTAAATGTTTTTCAAGTGAAGCATAAAATCTTCATTGTGCATAATCTAAGAAAGAATCAGGCAGGCAATATTACAGAAATATTAAGTTATCAAACGGCAAAAATCGAGATTTTCAAGTATTATTTGCGAAAAGTTCCATTTGTTATCGCCACGCCATTTCAAAATGTTTCGAAGCTTTTGTCAATCTAGCTGGGAAGGCTCTGAAATTTCGCTTGCGAGTATTATATTTCCCCACCATCTTCCTCAGGCATTGTTTCGGGGTTTCGTTAGATTCCGAAACATCTATTATCTTCTAAGGCTTATCTCTTACTCTATAAAAAATATTTTCTTTATTACATATTATCTTTATTATTAGCGGTGACTGTGTTGGATGTTTCTTTGATATGGGGTGTTTAAAAGTAGTATTGTGCTGAGCTCAAATTATATTTTTTAATTAATTATACCGAGGAATTAATAAATATTAGTTGTTTGCTTTTATTTGTTAGTGTCACATGTTTTCATTTTTGACACACTGTACACAAAATGAAAAAGATCGAACTGGCCTATACAGGAACATATCATTCCCTCTTCGACGTCCATTTGCCTGCTGACCACGAGAAAGCAGTAGTTAGATATTTCTAACTAAATAGAACAACATCACTGTTTGACAGGAGAAAGTTCTAGCCTAATAATTATTCCTTCCTGCGCACATTCCTCTGACAAACGCACCACGTACCCCTCAAACCTACCTGTTTTAACTTCCGATTCAGTGACAGATTCTTCATCCATAGGTACGTTCTATCACTGATATCCTTTTACCCGAACACCCATCCATTCTCATATTCGTTTTACTCCCTCTCTTTACCCCCTCTCATTTAATTCTCATTCTTAGTTTCATCCCCTTCGCTAGTTTCCTCTCCCTCTGTTTTGCTTCCCGTTCTTTCTATAATTGATCCTCTCGCGGCCCTGGCTCCTTACGCCTGCTCTGGACTTCACTGCTGCCACCAGTTAACCTGCCTGTCTCCTCCTTTGCCCCTGCCCCAATTCATTACCCCCTCTCTTTCCTTCCCTGCATGACCCAGCTTTCGTCTCATACATACCGTTTCCTATCACTACCCGTCAATCCCGGCCCATAACCGTCCCTTCCCCGAGCTGCCCAGCCCCGCCATCTCACACCAGCCTCGTCCCTTCCCTGCTTGTCGCGGCCATTGCTTCACACGTCTCCCACTAAGTCGACCCCCACCTCTTCCCCAGCTTGACCCCTTCCGTCTCCGCCTCGCCCCGTCCCTCACCTCACACCTACCCCTATGTGCACCAAACCAGTCCCATATCTTCTCTGAGCTGCTTCACCATCCCTTCTTCCAAAACCTAAGCCTCACTCTTGCCTCGACCCTTCCCTACATTGTCCGGCCCTCGCCTCTCATCCACCCGTCCACGGCCCCGACTCGACCCGTCCCGTACCTTCTCTGACCTGTCCCACCGTTGCTTCATCCACCCTTGCCTCATCCCTTACCCTGGGCTTCGTCTCACACGCGCATCTCGTTGCTCGTCACACACTCTCCTGTCCGTGTGCCCGCCCCTTCCCCCACTTGCCCTGTCATTGCCTTGTCCTGGCCCCGTCCTGCCGTCCGGTCCGGAGCGGAGCGGCGCGGCGCGGCGCGGCGCGGCGCGGCAGTCGCCGCAGAGGCTGATTTCCCTGGCGCCGCGTCGCGTCGATAGCGGACAACGGCTGGAGCGCGGAGCGCTTATCGAGCTCTTTATCCGTGCCGCTGGAGCACCGCGTTACGCGCCGGTAATATTATTGCGCGAGAGGCGGTTAAGGACACAACAATTCGCGTATGGTTATCCACGTGCCGCTCCATTTCTTTTGACTGACTTAAATCTTTGGTACCGAATCGAGAATAGTTGCTATGAACGAGATATTAGCTTGTACGTGATATCAAATTAATTGGTTGAAGAGTATGAATGAATTAATAGGAAGGATAGAAATATTAATCTGACGTTGAAAAATTCAATGGGTTCTTTTTTCTCACTTTTAATAGCAGGACAGACGTGTAACATATACGTAGACATCTATTCGTAGTGGTATATCATGACCACACATGAACGTACTCTTGAAGATTTTGTGAAAAAAAAAAGAACCAAAACAAGACTCTCCCCAGTGTTTAATGGAATGAAATAACTAAATATGGAAACCTTAAGCGGATATCTAAAACCTTAATGTTCGTTTTTAAAACGTAACACCTCAAGAACGAAAAACAAAACTGGTTTTCCTTAAAAAAAAGACTTATCTCCCTATTCATCCTTTTCGTTTTCACTGAAGGCAAACACAAAAGGTTACATCAAAGAAAGTTTCCAGGTAACCAAAAATTTAAAAAAAAACTGGTTTTATGCAATAATCTTCATTTCAATTCGCATTTCTGCGATCCCATACAAGCTGCCCTGCGCCTCCGTTAACAAATCTTGAACCCACATATGACCCCTCATCACTATTCCGTCTCAGAAAGATAGCACTCTGCAAGATCCAGAGACCCCGCGTCTCCCACATACACAGAATAAGCCGTAACGCTGTATACTCTCGCCAGGGGAGTACGGTAATGCGCCTGCGCCGGCACCACGGCTGCTTCTATTGCCGCTGCCGCCGCCATTGCTACCGCTGCGTCGGTGGCGTCGTCGTCGTCGTCGTCGAGATGGAGGCGCCGTTCGGCCGTTGGCCGTTAGCGCGCTTGCCAGCCGTTTAAATGCAAGGGACCGAGCCGCGCGGACGCCGCTCGCGGGGCCGATCCGTTCCGCGCAAACGGGGGCCCGCGCAGGGAACCCTGCGGAACTCCAGCCTCGCGCGTGCCATGCCGCCACCGCCGCCGCTAGGATGCGCCGCGGCCCCGCGGGCGCCGTACCTCATGCCCCCCCCCCCTCTTCTGGCTGCGGGACCGCAGGCGGTTGGGCGTCCTCGCGCCTCCTACAATTTTTTGAAACTTATTTTTGGTTACTTCGAATAAACGAATTATGCTGACTGTACGAAAAAAAGCTATCGATATTTTAAGACAATTATTGATTGCAAATGAAAAAAGAAATATTTTTTATAAAAATTTCGTATCCTCCATCGTTTTTTTTTTTCGAATGGTGTGAAAAAAGTAAAACTCTTCCTATCTTCTCGTTATATATTTGTCAGTAATTGTACTTACGAAATGTGCCGACTGCATAAGAATTGTAGATTAGTAGAAAGCAGAATGCATAAAGAGAGTAAAAATTACTTTGGGATTTGGCGGAGATACTATCGGTAGTACAGGGTAATGAATCTATCCAATTTTCATTCACACATTAACCTTCAAATTTATTTAGATTTGAATTTAATTATCTATAACTCTGCACCTGGGGCAATAGTATTTTCTTATTAAATGCCAACTGTATGCCATCGAAATGAAATCTGTAATGTTTTATTGTCAGTACATCTTACTTCATGTCTTCCAAAATTGTACAAAAAATCGTTGTTGTTTTTTTTGTGTTTTTCTTACTTTTCATTTTACCTCGCTTTAACCACAATAAGCAGAATATGCACAAATCGAAAAAATAGCCATTTTCTATTGAAAAGTAGGAAATCAATGCATTGTAAACAGAAAAAATATTTTAGACAAAATATGTTCTAGACGTATTTGTTTAGTTCGCAAATTACAGATGAAAGATGAACGATAAATTTAACATGCATACAACCTAGAATCAAGTACGTTTTTATTTTCCTACAATGAAATATTCTGGTGTAATTTTTTCTCTTCGACTCCTACAAATATTGCTTTCTTCGCAAATATTTATGAGTTCGAACTGAGCGTGCATTATGATTCATGTTTTGATTTTATTGATGATTCATGATTTCACTGAACTTTCATTACATGTTTCATTTTATCAGTGGATGTATTTGAATATTTCAAATCTTCGTTTCATTTCAACAACCGAATTCCTTTGAATAAAATACTACGATACCAATGAGATACACACAGAACCAGCCAAGAGGAAATTCCTGATTTAAATTCTCTACGTAAAACGAACCATAAATAAACGTGAATTTCCCTTCAACGGGGTTTTTTGATGTAACGCCAACAGGCTTCATTATTGAGACATGAAGTGACAGATGTACAGTTAACTTTAATGATGAAACCGCGCCAGTCACCGTATGATAGAAAATCCATCGCATTCAGTAAACTTTTAGAGCTATTGACAAGTTATCGCACCGTGCCGCTGTTACAATATTCGAGAGAAGAATTTTTTTAGGTCACACAAAAAAAATCCTGTACTAAAAACAAAATTGTAGGATTGTGGGGGTACTCTGCTGTATTGTACAATGCAGCAGTACCAAACAATAAGATTTCAACATTGTAAGTATAAAAGATTGGAATGCATAAATAAATGTATTATAACTTCTCTGATAGTTCCTTAATGTGTGTAGGGGTTTAGGAGTTTCACCCGTACACCCCGCACCGGCGAATGCACTTGTTGAATATTTTCTCCGCCACTTCCACACATCACTACCGACGCCATCTCTATTGTGTAATACACTATTTACTAATGAAACGACCAAATACATTTATAATTTGCTTTTCTAATATCAAAAGTATAATCCATTTTTAACAGTTAAGTTTTATTTTTCTCAAAAGAGCCCTTAAGTCAAAAGTAATGTTGCAAACGTGCAACACCTCATTTCATTCTGTCATTTCCCCGCCAAGGTTTGTAGAACCTACCCGCTCCCACTCCACCCCCACCCCTCACACCTACTGCGGCAGTTCACCACCTCCACTACAACCTCTCGGATGCTGCGTCCAACTCCCGCGGCTCCAGCAGCTGCCTCCGCAGTCGCGTCCGCAGCTCCGCCTCTGCTGACGCCTCCGCCATCCCCACTGCGCCCCCCCCGCCCGCCGCGCCGCCGCGGGCCGCCGCCGCCAGCAAGCAAAGCAGGCAGAGCAACAGGCCACGAGACAAGGCCGCGCGGCGCGGCGTCTCTGCAGAGGAGGCGGGGCCGCCGCCGCCGCCGCGCCGCCACACATGAATATTTTCACAGGCGCCTTCCGTACGATACGTGTCTCACTGACCCGGGTCTCACTCCGCGCGCGCCTAAGCGCTCTCCGAAGGGCCCTCTCTTCCCTCTCAGAAAGAAAGCGCAGAAGTTGCTCTTATTATGACCAGGCTCGGGGACGTCTAATTTCCCCACACAATTGTATCGCGTCTTCGGGGCACCCGGGGCCCTTCGCGCCGTACGGTGGCGCGTGCGGCGCGGTGCGGTTGTGGTGGGTGCGGTCGCGGCGTCGCCGCCCAGCGACCATAACACTTCATTTAAAAATTAAGTGGCGCCGAGCCGTATTTGTATGAACCCAACAAATAGCGGCTCGAAAGCTCTCCGGGACGCGGCGGCGGCGGCGACCGCAGAGCGTCGGCGCGGCCGGAAAACGCTGGGAGGCGGCGGCGGCGGCGGCGGCGCGGGTGGTGGCGGGGGGCTCCACCTGCCCAGAATTGGGGCGAGGGCGCCGAGAGGAGAGAGAGAGCGGGGAGCATGGCTGGGGAGGGGGTGAGGCCCACTTACTGCGCACGGAGAATTGCGGGGTGCCGCGGGCGCGCTCGGCCGGCCGCAGGCTGAAACACGCGGTTTGCCGTAGCGCCCTCCCGACTCCTTATGTGTCATTATCAAAATAGGATAAACCACGTCTTGATAATTTTTTTTAAAAAGCAAGGCAAAATGTATAATGGCAGGGGCATACATTAAAATTGATTATTTATTGATATTTATTGATACTTTCATATACGTGTTTCTTAGAGAAATATCTTGTAATTAATGAATTTAGACATTTATTTTTTTGTAACTGACAAGAAAATTCAGATTTCTGGCATCGCTCATGTACTGTCAAAATTCCGTTAGGTACCGACACTGGAATAAATTACGTATACTTTTCTCTGCAATGAATTTACGGGTTATTACAGATAATAATTATTTTCGTATCACGGCTCTCGTTACGTTAATAAGATAAAAAAAACGAAGTGTCAATAATGTATTTGCGTTTGTAGAAATAGCTGGAGATAGGCCTCGTTGAGTGAATAACCAAAATTTGAAGAATGCTAGGTTCCAATGCAAGCTATCGATTTATTGACTAAACGAAATAATTATTAAACCAAAAAAAAACATCCATGAAAAGATATCACACAACGTAGACCTATTAAAAGAGTTTTAAAATACATGATATTTATGTGAATCTGTATAAAACTTCATGGAATGTTTTCCAAGTTTCCCTTGTTTCCCATGTTTCCCTTACGATAAGAGAGAAGTGCGACTACTTTTCCATATCTAGTTTGCAAACCGTGGTGTTATACAAATTGTCGAAGAGCATGCGAATTTTAAAGCACTGCGGGTGTCGCGTGACACCTTTGGTAAACCACATAAGTTATTAGATCATCAAATTTATGGGCACTGAACTTTGACAATACTTTCTCGCTAGCTTTTGAGCTCCACATCTTCAAGCTCTATGAGGATTTCACAAATCCTAAAACAATTATTTCAATAGCTACGAAACCATAAGAATCCTAGCCCTCACGTTTTTACCATATTCATGATCATTAATACGAAACCCCTAATTCACCATATTTTTGACCTCTGATACGTGGCAGAACATTTTAAATATGTTTCCCATTCCGCAAGAACCACAAATTTATTTTTCAGAGCGAAATAAATATGACATCAGATATGAATTTTCCCCTCACTAAATAATTGTTATTTAATGCGGGATAGTTTTTAAAAACATTAAGAAGTTATGCATATTTATCTTCTAATCATTTTTATGAAAGGAAGTATTATCAATATTAAGATGTTTCTTTGCATAACAACATTTAGACTACTCGTATAATCTACATTTGATTTTCTCTCAATTTTGGATGATTACATTGACGTACAAAGACAACATACTAGGAAGTATTGTGACATTATCCATAAAAATATACGACTTTCACACTTGTTGGCTCAGTTTTAACTTACTCAGGTGTACGACAGGTCATATTTGCGGTCAGCGTTTGCCGACGAAGAGTAGCCTTGGTTACAAACTACCCAGCAATCCATTACGTGATCCAACCTCCACGCCCAACTGGCCCAGAGTCCAGCTAATCCCTCTGGGCAGCCCAAGGTACGAGTGGGCAGCCATGTAGGGCCACTGGGAGAGTATTTCGAGTCCCTCTGGAGCACAGGTCAGACCTCGTTTTGCATTGGACAACTGTTCGACAATTTCTAAACAATATTTTCATAATTTCACCTAAAGTTCCTGAGGGGTTAGAAACAAAACAAAGGTTACTGGATTTATTATTACTGGAATCATTACTATTCACAATTGTCCACGCACGACGTTTCAGATGCTGTTTGCGAACGATGTAACAAGCATAAAATGTCCCAATACACACTTGTCACCGTGTACAAAGAATTTTTTAAAAATTTTAAGTCAATTATTTTTGGATAAACTAACCACGAGTCAAATTGTTTGGAATTGCGTTCAATAATCCTCTGCGATTCTTAGCAGAGAAAACAAATATTTCACAACCTTCAACACCCGTGAGAAATGTAGGGTCGCGCCACATATTCCTCCCCATTCGACAGCAGGACCGAAGATTTAGAGAAACGCCGACTGGGAAGTTGGGTCACAAGGAAGGAGAGACTTCCCCTCAACTACTTGTTTCGTGAGTGCAGGCTGTCTGTTCTTTTCTAAGATAACGAAAGCTACAGTTAGTTTTGAAATGCAACTGCGTCCCGGAACTCAAAAGGTCTAAAAGCGATAGTTGAACCTAACCGTAACCTAAGAAAACCATCAACTATATTCAGTTGTAGAAACGTTATATTCAACTTATTTGAAATTTGACTAAAATCTTTGAAGCAATACAGTAAACGCTGTTGTTACTTTTAAGGCATCAGCTTCAAGAAAGCTAGAGTCAATGCGCCCTAATCTCACCTTCGATTCTTTTGTCAGGGCAGCAGACGGGCCCCCATGAAGTACTTAACGTATGAAGAAAACGAGTTCGGCCATGTATTCTGATAGAGCAGAGCGCAATGTATGTTGTTATCATAACAACTATTAAATACCTCTGAAATCCATCTTTTGACATTTAATTGACAATGAATATAAAATACTCCAAGGATAGCTAACTAGAATATGACAACAAAAGTCTATGGGTCGCAGAAATGATTTCAATGGTAATCGAAGACTGCCATCAGCAACAAATCAAATAAAATCAATCTGATAAGTCACAAACAAGACCCCGTGGTTTATTTTCAAAGCAAGAATAGAAACAGTGAAAATTAAAAAAAGATCCTTATTACCCAAAATAATGGTTCTTTAGTTTAATAATGTTTCGATTCAGCCAATGATATCCACACATTATCCTAGGGGCATTTTGCATCTAATAATATTAAGGGTCGCGGCTTCAGCCTCTATCTTCATCACGAGATGCAATATCGTCCAATATTTGAAGGCGTTTTCCTGATACAAAGAATGAGTTCCATCATTTTCACGGAATATGAAAAGTCGTCCGACGATCGATTACAATCCCTTTAGCAATTAGTAAAAGTCGTTTTTCCAGTAAACGTTCAGACCAACTGCTAGATTAGTGGCTAATATCAAAACAGGCCAAATACTCCCAACATGATGTGTATTAATGATCTGGTGTAATAATTAATAGCTCCATCACCCCAGCTCCTTAATCGATTTTAGAGGGTGTCACAGAATAAAGGTTACATAATTCATGTACATGTAGAAAACTCGAAAATGATAACTTCTTGCCAATGAACATATATTGATAAATTGCATATAAATGTAGTGTGGCATTTGCCCCCCATTTTTTCCCAATCCTGTACACACATATATTCGGCAGGAGAATGAAAACTTCTCGATTGCAGAAATTGCACGTCACTGCGTTAAATTCAATTTCTCACCGCATTTTTATTGACAAAATATATTTTTTTCAATCCATCTACATTCCCTAAACGTCGATAATATTGATGATTGATTGTTAGTGATTCCGGGCGCGTCAATTGCTAGGGTCATTGGTCCCATAGGTGCATTGCATGTCTTACCGCGGGAGAAGGGAGTGATCTTCGCCTCGCTGCGTGATGACTTGATGAGATCCGGCACCGACCTACCAACGACTAGCGGTGTTTTACTCAACCAGGTAATTCCCACCAGCGGAGACAAGCTATAAGCTCCCGACCGGTCTCTGTGTTGTGTATGTAATGCATGTAAGTGTGCGGGTGTGTATGTGTTATATAATATAATACAAGGGGTGAGGACAGGGCAAGGAAGAGGAAGGAATAGCCGCGGTCCGTGACCCGTTTGTTAGGATAATGCTCCAACGTTCGCCTATTATTGATCGGAGAAACCACGGAAAACTGCCGGTGAGAGCAGCCGGCCGCTAGAATTCTCCTCCAAACAGCGGCTGAATTTCATTTAGCCACGCAGTTAGTGAGTAAGAGCATGCCACCGTCGGGATTCGATCCTAGGACATCTCGGTCATCGGTACTAGTGTACCCTGAGCCACTCCTCCCGGTTCGGTAACATTTCTTCCGAGACACCATGTATTCAAGTACAGACCGGCGTCTGAGAGCGGCGGCGTGCTTCAGAGGGAAACCGAGAGACCGGGTGGGCCGTCTCCACCTCAGGAATAATATCCATGATTTACATTTAGCCACAGGGAGTGCGGTAATGAGGCTTTATGCGGAGCTTTCAGCTTAGCTCCCCGGCGACGAGGGTCGGTAGGGCGTGGAAACCGGTGGTGCGGCCACCCTGCGTCGCGACGCCGCGGCGTCGGGGCGCTGGCAAAGGGCCCTGGTTGTAATTACGCCGATTTACCTAAAGGCAACCGCCTGGATTGCAAGGCCTGCTTGCCACGCCAGTGCAACGGAGAGAAAATTGTGTTGATGTCGAGTTTGTGGGTCGACGAACTGATTCGATTGCAAAGGTAGTGATCGCGTTCGATTCTTTTGTATATCTTTCTTAATGTAGTTACGCGAAACAGAAGGCATAATGGACTCAACCTCCTCACTAATAAATCAAAATTATTATTATTATTATTATTATTATTATTATTATTATTATTATTATTATTATTATTATTATGGTCATGAATTGTCCATCTAGACCCGGGGTGGGGGATGGTTGATGAAATGATGATAATGAAGGATGAATGGGCAACACACACATAGAGACCTGCCTAGCTCGAGGTGGGACTCGGAAATAGCGATCCTTCTTCCGTCACGGCACCGCTGCCTATGTGATTTCGGCAATCCGGTTTGGCGTATTAATTATTATTATTATTATTATTATTATTATTTATTATTATTATTTATTATTATTATTATTTATTATTATTATTATTATCATCATTATTAAGCACGAAACCGGGTGCAAATCCCGTGTTCGTAGAGAGCGATGTCTTAGTTTTGAGGTCCTACGGAGGCGGATTTTTAACATCAACTACGAAGTACAGTAGAATTCCACTAAACTAAACCCCACAAATCCCAAATTTCGGATAATCCGAACAAATTTCGAGATGGAGGAAAAATAAACAAAAATTCTTTAACTTTATTTATGAACGAAAAAGTATGAGCACAGTAAGTTAACCCATTTCCGAAATCTGTACTTAGAATACTCCATAACAGCAGCGCCACAAACTGTGCTACAACTTTTCTAAACAATGTAGCAACTACTATCGCATACAATCTGTTATACGTGCGTACTTGTACTTGCTGTACTCCGTTGTACGTAACATTGCCACTTTCGCAAGTCGCTGCGCTACGTTGACATTTTCTCACATCGCATATTACGTTGCATTGGGTCTGGCAATCCTTTAGAAGAATTTGTGTATGTACGGTACATATTTTCGGATAATCCGAAACACACAGCGATAATAAGGCCACATCGCGATCCCAATTAGTCCGGAATACCGCGTTTCTTCTATAGCTTGGAGCAGGGCACACACCGCGCGATAACTCCCGGAAACAAGAGCCGCGATCTATGCGACTGGCGGAGTATTATTTCAAAAACCGGCTACAGATCGCGCGCGGTATTTCCTTCCCCGTTTTGTCTTTACCTCCCAACTTTATAGTCGGGCGATTAGTCCGATCCCCCATATTCGTCGTTCTTCCCTGTGATCTAGAAAAGTTTCAAGTACGCAAGATGTCAGGCCAAAAGCCATAAAGGGAGAGCCAAAGAAAGAAGACTTCATGTACAAAGGTTCCATATAGGTATTATGTAAATATGTAAATATGAAATTCTTATTCAAATAAGTATTTGTAGGTGTAGGATCCCGTAATAGTTTTTTTTTCAACCTGTACCACTTCCTTTACATCATATCTGTTGTTCATGTTTGCCATAAAGATTTTAAATTTGTTTCTTTATTTATGGTCACCTTTTAACAGCTCTAGTCATCAGCGACCTCATTATGTTCACATGAGTACATTACCAACCATTTCAACGTTAAGGTAATTGTCATCATTATTTTTGAGAATTGTACGTGCAGTTTGGTTAAAATTAAGTGTATGTGTAAATTATGTGCTTATTACAAATGAAAAATATTTTGTTACTGATTTTTTTATTGTCTATGATAGATAAGTACATTCAATAGCGTACAATAATCTCTATTGAACTTTTAACTTACGGACCTTGTGTATCTACGTAACATAAAGGTGAGTAAATGTTAATCTTACCTAAATTGCCGACACTGAGGTGGTAAATGTCACAACTTGTAAGAAAGTGAAAGCGAATTCTTAAGATTATTCCAATTAATGTTTAATAGCCCAAACACAATTACTATGAACAACCTCTATTGATCCCTTTCAAATCCAGATCAATCGACCAGGTTCCGGGTAGCGACCGGCCGAGCAACAAATAAAACTGATCCAACGATCGCATCTCCCCTGGATTAGAGCAAAATCTCTCATGATAAAGTAGTGCATTTACGAATACTTTGAATCGTATTAGTTTTACATGTTTCTTGTAGGTATGTCTAATCTCTCTCGATGCTACAGCACTATTTCTACAGGATATACCCAAAAAATACACTCGGCCTAATCTCATTATATATCTACGTGTTCAACAAAACGCATTTTAGTTACGTCTATTTATGTCACAAGTCTGAGGTTCGAAGTAAACTTTGAAATCTAACGCCAGTAGGACGTAAGATTTATTTCTCTTAATACTATTTTCGTATATTTTCGAGTCTGAAAAATATTCTTTACTGGGCAATTAGTTCTTATAGAAAGAAGTTAAGAATAAGCTAATATAGAATACTCTTGGACCTACGTAAAGTGGAATATTAAATAGATTTATGTATCTATAAAGGAATTTCCTTATGACAAAAAAGCAAAATACTCCTACATCTTGCGACTTAAAAGCAATACCCGTTCAAACTTGCCACATATCAATGTTAACCGTTGGCATGGAATAATAATCGGAGAGAGTGATGAAGACAATAGAAGGTCTTTTGGCCAGTCTTACAACACAAGAACTAATGCAGTCGGAATAAGGCAATTAAATACGGAAAACAAAAGGTTGCCTTCGAAGTTGCTGAAAAGCTCAAGACAATTTTTCCAAGAATCCCAA